TGCATAGAGCTTACTCCCACATCACCGAATCAGCGTAGTAAGTGCTGCGCATTTACCACATCCTATGAACTCGAAAGTTCCTTCTTCCACATAGTAATAAAACTTACGAACGTGGTGGTCGTTGGCTTGTTCGCTGAGCTGGGCAATTTGACTTCAAACGTTTCATCACCAATCGAGGTGACATCATCAGTGCGTTATTGTACTTACGAACGTGTACAGGAATTAAGCAATGGTCAACCAATACAATACTGGGGACCTCCTTATTGTGAATGGAATATGCTTGTCACTCCTGTCACTAAATCAGCTCAAGTTAAAAAAAAACAAAGAAAAGAGCACCACTAAGGTCACTACCAAGAAAGTCAGCTAACGAGAAGTTCAGGCCAGTTGCTCTGCCGATACAAGTCGGGATCTGGCTTACACTCACGACGGTGTTCACAAATACAATACCACTTTGTCGTGTTTATACAGTTTTTTGCACGCGTATTTTGTTTCAAAACAAAAAAATGATGGGAATTCGAAGGAAGAGTCCGTTTTCAGTCAATTGGAAAATGTTTGGGACCGATTTGGAAGTCATCGTTTCAGAGGGGTTTGGTAAACAATCGGTGGATTTATTGCTGGGCAACGTTGTTAAGCCACTAGATGCGTCCCCCGCTTCTGCTCGAATTGCTTCTTCAGCGGCCAAGTCATTCCTCAAACAGAGGATCCATTTAACCACCCAACGTTTAACTGATATCCGCCACCGCGCATGTCGTCTCAACCATGATCTTCAGTCCACACTCTCGCCTGCTGAATTAGAATTACTAGATACCAAAACGAAGGAAGTGAAATCAGCTCAAGGTAAACAGTGCAAGGACAGACAAATACGTAAGTTCGAGAAATTGCTTTCTATCACTCACTGTTCTAGTAACACAGCAGAGAAGAGTAAGCCATCCAGCTACCTATTGTAGCGTAGTCAATTTATCAGATAGACCCTTAATTGAAGAAGAACGTTGTCTGTTAGAGAAGGGATTGAATTTTGCAGTAAGTAAAGGCGTTATAAGGGCGGAAGAGATCATCCCTAGTGTTGAGTCTGTGTTTCAGAAGCTTCCTTCAATGGAAACGGAAAAATTACGTGTACAGTTGGTCACAGTCCTGAAGTCCCAGCAACCAGGGGTTCCAAACATTGCACACGTTAAAAAATGTAGACAGCATAGTAATTACAAAGGCAGATAAAGGTAAGGCCACGGTCGTCATGAATAAGAGTGACTATCTTCATAAAGTTAGACAACACAGCTGATGGTCCTTACCGACAAATTAGTAACGGAAAAATCACGTCAATTATGGGTAAGAGTAAAGTTGAAGTTGGGAGGTATCTAAGATCTCTGATAAACCATCTGGGGCAAGGCAAGTGGTATCGATTGTACCCAAAAAGTGCGATCCAACCACGACTGCACGGGTTACCGAAAATTCACAAGGAAGGTGTCCCCATAAGACCAATAGTGGATGGCATAGGTTCGCCACCACATGAGCTGGCCAGATATCTAGCAGGTATCCTTAAAGCACTTGCCGGCAAGTCACCCACACACATCCAAGATTCGTACGACTTTGCCAAAAAACTAGCTGGGTTTCAGATAGAGCCAGACGAAGTCCTGGCTAGTTTTGACGTCAATTCGATATATACCAACGTCCCTAAAGCGGACGCTGTGGAAGTAGCTAGAAGACTTTTAATGACAGACGCAATGCTGCAAGAACGAACGCAACTCTCCGTAGACGAGATACTTGAAGGCATAAAAGTATACCTAAACCTCAGTCAATTTGTTTTTGACTCAATTATATACTGACAAGAACAAGGTTTGGCGATGGGATCACCAATATCCCCGATTTTGGCCAACATGTACATAGAAGACTTCGAACAGAAAGCTTTAAACGGATTCGAGTGTCCACCAAGGGTGTTCTGGCGTTACGTAGATGACACGTTCGTCGTAATAAAGCGGGCTTAGGTGAACGAATTCTTTCAACATCTGAACACATTGGACCCTCACATTAAGTTTAGCATGGAGCTAGAATCCACATCGGGTACACTAGCTTTCCTTGAGTACATGACACACAAAAGTGGTGGGAAATTAAAAACCACTGTATACCGGAAATCAACAGATAGTGGTGCGGTCTTAGACTACTCCTCTGCACATCCAAAAGCAGTATATGCTAGCATAGCCTCAGCGATGTTTAGGAGAGTGAGAGCACTGTGTACAGAGGAGGTCGACCGAAGAGCAGCACAACTTGAGGTAAAAAAGCGACTTCAAGATAGCGGATACCCAGTGGGTTTAATTAAGCGGCAACTAAGACGGGTATTGGTGCCAACACCAAGGCCCAACAAGGAGTGGATCGGAACAGCGGTCATTCCATACAAAACAGGGACATCTGAAGTCATTAGAAGGGTACTGAATACGGCTAACATTAGAGTAGCTTTCCAGAAGGGGAAAACTTTACGCTCGGTGTTGGTGCATTTGAAGGATCGCCTTCCGGTTGATAGGACTAGGAACTGTGTATACAAAATAAAATGTAACGACTGTACGAAGGTTTATATAGGTCAGACAGCCAGGGAATTGCACATCAGAATCGGTGAGCATAAGCGTTCCATTAGCAGACCACCGAGAAACGCAGAGGAATATCAGGCGTTAGTCAAAGATTCAGCAATGGCAAGGCATGCCCTAGACACTGGGCATAGGATAGATTTAGAAAATGTGGACATCCTGAGACGGGGTTTAAGATTCACACCACAGCGACTGGTGGCCGAGGCGGTGGAAATCACCAAGCATCCCGGCGTGAATAGAATAGAGGGGGTAGAACTTGCAAACGTGTGGAGAGCGGTCTTAGATCAGGCGAGATGACACGAGACGGTGTGCAGTTATCAGCGAAATCGCCTGGGTCTAAAAGTACAAAAAATCCAAGTAGCGTTAGATCCAATTAACCACCCCACCCCCATCTCCAAACTAATTGTCCCAGAACCCTTGGACGAACACAGGTGAACGAAATCTGTGAACGACCCCAAGAGGAATTTTCCATTAAGGTGTCCTAGACTGAAGAAGCAGGAACGAAAAAAAATCCGGGTTCATCATAAAGACAAACTCCCCTCCTCTAACCAATCTATCGTAAAGCTTAGTCATCCTCACTAATCAACAAACAGGGACATCAGACTGAACACCCAGCACTGATCACGTCACTAGTCATAAGGAGAAATCCCACGGATTGGTTCCCTGACTGCCTTAAGAACCAATCAACCTACTTACTTACTCGCTTGGCCCGACGAAGCTTTTGTGTCAAAAGCGAAACGTTGCCCAGCAATAAATCCACCGATTGCTTACCAAACCCCTCTGAAGAAAGTCTGTTTTCTTAATTGGTTGCTTTAGTGCTCCATAAAAAATCCCACTGTTAGTGGTAAGTGAAAAGGTTACGTCAAACTGTTTGTGAACTCCGGTGCATATGTTGGCTTCAGTCCTCAACTGTGATGTGTTATAAAGGGAACAACACGTAGGCAGTTTTCTAAATGTTCACGTCGAAATGTTCACTTTCTGAACTGCACAAACTTCTGGATTTGAACCGTGATAATGCAATTGGTTGCCGAAACACAACCACAATAAACCTGGACTATATAAAGAGCTCATAATATGGATCGTAACCATTTGAACGAAGCAGTACAAATGGGGTGGACAGAGGTCAGTGGTTGTAGGTAAAACGGGATGTTCCGAGAGAAGGAGCAACACAGAGAGCGTCCAAACAGGAAGAACGAAAGCTAACAACTATTGGTTTTGAGGCTCTTCCTCCATATATATCATGACAACATTGTTCCGTACTGTATCCGGGTAGATAGGAAAAGTCGTAATCAGCAGAAAAAATATGAAACCAATCAATGATGAGTACGGTTCGAAAACAAATCATATATTTAATCGCGGCAAGGCGTCAGTTAAACGGAATTCGCCCATGAACAACGCTCAGTACTGATTGCTAGGTGAGTCGGGATTCCGCGTATACTTGAATGCCGGTTGCCTGTTTGACGAAAGGCAATAAACAGCTTAGTTGATAGTCATAGGTCTCCTTACAATGATTGCAACAAAACGATCACTTTAGTGACCTTGTCTAAGCCCATCCGGTTAGCATAAGTAAAGAGTAGAGGTTTTGGGGGTAACATTTGTTCTGCAAACAACCGATCGGGTTCTCGGTGGTTGCAATCCTCTGTTTGGAATGATGACCAGTTAGGATAGGCCGTTTGGATGAATGGTCAAGTTACTTTGATGAGTCAACGGCTGATTGTGGGACGATCCGCTTTAATCAAAATGATGTCTTACGGGCAATCACCTTCAAGAAACCATAAGTGTACCAGATATCTTGGAGCAACAGGAGTTGAATTATACGGTAGATTGTTCTCGGTTTCAGGAACATGAACCGCCGATCAGTTGAATGTTGTTAATGACGCTCGAGTGCCACCCATTTTTATTAGCAGTTGGAGAAAGATACTGTACTTCCCTACAGTAACTCCATGATTCTGAGTGTTGGTCCTAAGTGAACAAGAACCACTACGTGAACGGCTATCGCACCATCGTGATTTCAATAACGGAACACCAAAGTATGAATCTTCGGTACTGATCTTCACTAAAATCCATACCGGGGCAGACGACCGATCAGAGAACCATATAGGTAATTCGAAGCATTTTTGTTATTTTGCACCAGTGAAGTACCCGTTGTGTCCATAAACAACTTTTGAAATTACAGTTGAACGGCCCTGATGTAGTCCTGTAGGAAACTGTCGCTTTGATTTCATACCCTGAAAATCCACCCAAGGGTTTCGATTTTCGTGAAAGGGTTATATTCTTAGGAGAGTCCTTTAAAGCTTTCTGTAGTTGGCATCCTGACAAATGTACTTTTGGAAAGGTGGTGTTAAGTGGGCATAAATTATGAGCCTTTAGGATGTTTCTTCCGAGATAGCTGATTTTCGTAGCTTTGTCGCTTAAGGAACCTTTCACTCAGTATCTAAACTCTGTTCTGAAACAGAAGAAGAATTAAAAAATGTGTTCAATTTGTATTACCAGACATGAGTTAAAATACAAGATGACTGATGCATCAAAGTCCCGAATACGTCATCGGTAGAATTCAAAGAAGGCAGTACGACTAGTCGTGCTATACATTATGAAGTGCTACAATAAAAGAAGATAGATGAAAGAGAGAAAGATGATGAATGACGGTAAGCTAAGTGTGAAGCCGAGAATCTTAACCAAGAAAATTAAAGTAATTACAGTTTACTAGAACTCTAGTTAGGGAATGAGAGTTTTGGGAGGATCCTCTGGACAGTGCCTTTGGGGACGGAGTCAAAACAGTAAAATACTGGCACAGTCGGTAACGTAGTTAACAGTGAACAGTTTGTGGACAGATGGATTCGTCATACTAATGACTCATTCAAGGTGACTGACGGCATGTCCCAACTGATCAGTCCGCAGCCAAGTCAGACTGGTGCATTGCTTTATTAGCCAAAATTGGGTGGCTAGAACCGCTGCACCAAGGCTTCTTATCTTTTCTGTATTGTGAATAACCGGTGGAGGAATACTCAGAAATCATGCCACCGGTTTTTCAGTAACGGGCAAAAGGAATACACGATCTACGGTCAACTTTCAGGATTCAGTTAGTACTATTTTTCGATCTCAGATCCGACTAAAATGTCCTTCTTCCCCTTTCAGCAAAGAGTTGCTGTGGCAAACCGAAGGGTCCGAAATGTTTACAGTCACCCTATTGTGAAAGTCGTCTATATGAAAGCACAGGCATAATGCAGTACCCAGTTTTACTGACACGTTGCAAACTCAACTTCAGTGAAGACGGCTGTTACTGTTGGAGCCGATTCTCAACCAATGGATAACATCTAGGCTTTATACCATGAGGTAACCATATCTTATTTGCCTGTTTGTTCCAGAAACCAAGTTAACTAAGCTCCATTTCCTGGTTAGAAGGGGCAAAAATACATAATTTTTCAACACAACTGCTCACTAACGAAAGGAAAATAAACCAGCAAATGCCATCTCAAGTGCCTCATTTCCAAATGTTTTACTCACCTGGGGATTGAAGTTCAAATGTGCGATATACGTATATCACAATGAATTTGGCTCCATTCTCAGAAAATGAGTTCACTGCAAAGGAAGAACATATTGGTATTCACAGCGCAGGCCAGAGTAATTCTGAATATATTGGAACTATGAGTACGGTTGGCGTTCAATTCAATCAGGTTTATCCGAGCTTTCGACGTGGTTATCTTACTTCACTGGTGAACGCTTGGCCAACATGACAACGAATGTCGTCATGTTAGCCTGAAAAATCCTGACACTGAGATAAGGTCTTACTTTTCGTTATCCTTATTTCCCGAAGACTCCAGGTAGCTCCTATACGCTATGAGAAAATAGGTGAACGGTAATTGCAGTGTGGTACTATTCCTCTAGGTAAACCGGCTGATCGGTCAAATTAATCACTAAAACTAATGACGACTTTCTGCAGATTAGTGGTGACACTGTAGTAGGAGTTTTCTTTTACAAAAGGATCACTACAGTGTTGAAAATGTGATGTTTCTCAGATTCTAACTACCTTATCGTTAGCAACTGCTTGCACGAAGCTACGGAATCAGGTCGAAGTTATACTAATTGACGACAGAATTTACAATCTAAAAATGGGTTAACACTTGATCTCCATCATTTAAGGCTTTGTTGAGGCAATGTGAGCGCCATTGGATACAACACTAACGGGCTATTATTGCAGGGGAAGATAGTTCCACCCCATTCAAACTTACCAGTGGGCCTGCTTATGGCTGGCGTAGAAACCACCGTTCATTCTTCTGAGTGCCTTGGTAGAAAATAATTTTCCATGAAACGTAGCTTTGTGTTGGGTCAATGTTTTCAAGAGAGAACGAGCAGTGGAGCATTGATGTCTGCGTCCCACTCCATATGTGTCGGAACGGAATTTCCTGTATAAAGTGAGTGACCAAGTTGTAGAAATTTTACAATGTCCACAACCCGACAAGGATAACAAAACTATGCTTCCATGAAAATCTCCTGATTCATGACTTGTATTAAACGATGAAGTGATATAATTCAGCTGAATAAAATTACGGTTGAACGGAGGTAGCTAAGAGGTATATTGTCATTTATTTTTGAAGAGCATGGTCACAAACATAAAAAGTGAATGCAAGCGATGAATGGGAAAGAGTAACAAGAGAATATGGGAGAAAAGAGAGAAACGTCTCATTCGAAATCATGCCAAGAACAGT